GAGTTCAAGACCAGTCTGGGCAACATAGCAAGACTTTGTCTCTACAAAAAAACCAAAAAAACAAAAAGCAAAATCAAACAAAAAAACAACTAGCTGGGTGTGGTGGTGTGCATCTGTAATACTAGCTACTTGGGAGGCTGATGTAGAAGGACTGCTCTGAGTCCAGGAGGGTGAGGCTGCAGTGAGCTATGATCACGCCACTATACTCTAGCCTGGGCAACTCTGACTCAAAAAAAAAAAAAAAAAAAAAAAGGGAAAGAAAAGAAAAAGAAAACTAAGCAAATGAAAAAATGAGGTAATTATTATTTATGCCAATAAGAACAAAAAGTTATAAAATATATCACACTAATGTAGGACTATGCAACTATAAAAATGAAGTATATTATCATGTGAAAAAAAATCAAGGTACAGTATAGGGTAAGCCACCTTTTAGCTAAGAAAAGGGGAAATACAAATATCCCTTTACAATTTTTTTTGAGTTGGAGTCTCACTCTGTCATCTAGACTAGAGTGCCGTGGCACAATCACAGCTTAATGCAGCTTCAAACTCCTGGACTCAGGTGATCCTCCCACCTCAGCCTCCCAAGTAGCTGGGACTACAGGCATGTACCACCATGCCTGGTTAATTTTTTTATTTTTTGTGGAGACAAGGTTTCACTATGCTGCCTGGGCTAGTCTTGAAAGCCTATGCTCAAGCAATCCTCTCGCCTCTGTCTTCCAAAGTGCTGAGATTATAGGCATGAGCCACTGCGCTTGACCTACATTTTTTAAAAATATGCAAAAACCAATAAAAATTGTTATCCATAGATGGAAGGAGGGAACTGAGTCAAAGGAGACAGTTAGACAGTTAGTTAAAATAATGTGCCTTTATTTTATAGATTCATTTTGTAACCATGAAAATATTTTACAAAATTATAAAACAAATTAAATCAAAATAAAAAGTAAAAAAAAATCAATCTCTAAAATTTGAAAGCAAAATGAAAAAAGAAACCTGTGTATCAAGTATCTGGTTGGTGGTTTAACTACAAAGAGAGGAATTATTTCAAAGGGTATAATAATTTGACAAAAAGAGCTAGAAAGAAATCTTGAGCTCTTTTCAATAATCATTTCTGATCATATTGTTACTGTTCTGAAATTATTATATACATAGTAGGATAAAATACATAAGTAATTATGTCAATATGTCAGGATTAAAAATTTTTATTTTAGGAGACATTAGATAAAAATATAAAATAAAAAAGATTTAAGTAAAAACTCTAGTTCTACATGAACATGAAGATATATTTTCTGTTTTCAAAAAATAATTTCCTAGCTCTGTCCACAAGGAAGGCCTTGAAATATGATCAACACACTATAAATGAGCGTTCTTGTATACCGTGGCCTCCAAATACCATTTCCTACTAAAAGAAACAAGAATTCCTTGAAGAAATGGCTGATTCCAAGTCTTAGGCAGAAAATGAACTAAATGTTCTAGGAATATCTTATCAGTGCAGAACAATCAAGACTATCAAGGGCTCTTAGGCAACTTAAAGAGGTTCCCATTAGCTCTAAATGGGACAATTGAAGTACTGAAAATCTGCAGTGGAAACATAGCAAGTATGTTAAAAACCCATGAGTTCATAATGATACCAAGAAAAACAAACAAATGTAAATTTATCATTTTTAGGGGAAAGTGAAAGAAACAAGTTATTTAAAGACTGCTTCCTAGGTCTTGGTGCTCTGGCTGCCAGCTCCCATAAAATTCACATTTTGCCTCAAGCCTCAAAGTAGATATTTAAACTTCAAATAAGGGGGAAGCTAAAGTTATCCTATCATCTTAACGGAATAGAACGTCAGTACCAGTAACAGGGAAAGGAACATGAAGGTATTAAAAAACAAAACAAAAAAACCGAGAACAGCTCAGTACATGTAAGGTACTATAATTAATACAATGGGCATCTGTCCTATATATGAGTATTTACTGGATTGGATTTTAGATCCAGCACAAATTTTACTGGGAGGAGGAATTCATCAGGATAAATAAGGAGGGTAGAAATGTGTCCAACAGAAGCTGCAAGGGATAGAATATTGGGTAAATATTGCAAAGAGGTATTAATTCACCAAACATTGGTGAGCACTCACTATGTGTATGAATCTGTGTTAAATGCTAGAATACAAAGCTAAATAATATAACGCTGCTACCCCCACAGTCTAGTGTGACAGAGGAGGGGAAGCCCTAATCAGACTGAGGAGTTGGATATGGTTTTCTACAGGATCTGATGTCTGAAATGAATTTTAGAGTATAAGTAAAAGCCAGTTGAAGAAGAATGGAGGCATTCTATACTGAGAGGACAGCCTCAGACAGGAATAAGATAGCACAGCATGATCACGCTAGTTCAATATGAACGGAAAGAAGAATGCATGAGGATGTAGATTAGACTAGGGGCTGTATCATGAAGATCCTTAAGTGCCAAGGTAAGAAATGTAAGCTTCATTTCTAAAACTATCAAGCAGCTACTGCAGAATTTTAATTTTAAGCAAATGAGTGGCATGATCATATCTGCACTTTAAGAACAGCCCTGGCTTCTGTATAGAGAATACACTCAGAGAGGAAGCTGGAATCAGTGAGATCAGTTTGGAGGTTACTGCAGTAGCCTAGGTGAGAGAAGATGGGAATTTGGACCTCAGTGGTGGTGGTAGAAGAAACAGAAAAGTGGATGGATCCAAGATACTTCTAAAAAGTAAAACTGGCAAGACTTAAAGATTGATTAGCTCTGGCTGAAGAGAAAAAGGAAATTAAAATGGAGGTGTCTAGGGTGACACATTTCTAGTATGTGGTGGTACCATTAACTAAGGTGAGAAAAAAAGAAACATATTTGGGAGGGGAAGAGGATAAGTTTAATTTAGGGCAATGGCTCTCATCTGGGACAAGTGTATTCCCCAGGGGACATCTGGCAATATCTGTAGCATTTTTGGTTGTCACAACTAGGGGCATCTAGTGGGCAGGGGTCACTGATATTCCCCACAACAAAAAAATTATCCAGGCCGGGCTTGGTGGTTCAGCCTGTAATCCCAGCACTTTGGGAGGCCGAGGCAAGTGGATTGCCTGAGCCTGCAGATTCGAGACCAGCCTGGGCAATTTGGGGAGACACCTCGTCTCTACAATAAATCAAAAATTAGCCAGGTGTGGTAGCACGCACCTGTAGTACTGGCTACTTGAAAGGATCGCTGGAGCCCAGCAACTCAATGCTGGGGTGGCCATGAGTGTGCCACTGCACTCTAGCCTGGGTGACAAAGTGAGACTCCAACACACACACACACAAAAAGTATCCAACCCAAAATGTCAATAGTGCATAGACTGAGAAACCCTGATCTGAGGACTGTTATTTCAAGAGTTCTGCAAGACAGCTAAGTGAGGTTGTTCAGTAACCTTTTGGAAACACACCTCCCGAAGCTCAAGAAGGCGCTAGAATGCAAATAGAATTTTATAAGTAGTCATTCAAGACATCAGCTATGGTTGGGCGCAGTCTCCCATAAATATATTCTAAAAGAAATGGGCCAAGAACAGATTCCTGGGGAAACCAACATTTATAGTGGGAAAGAAGAGAAGAAAAAGTCCCACGAGAAAGGAAAAAAAGTGGCTAGTGAGATAGGAGAAAAACCATCTGAGAATGGTATCACAGAAACCAAATGCAGTGTTTCAAGAGGAAAATAAGAATAAGAAGCCATGCCAAAGGCAGAGAAAATTTGAGTAAGTTGAGGTCAAAAAGTTTCCACTGGATTTGATAATAGTCACTGATGACTTTGGTAAGATCAATTTCTATGGCATGGTTGGGGGCAGAAACAAAAACATCAGATTTTCTTAAAGATAGGAGGAATTTACTATGCTTATGAACTGAAAGGAAAGAGCTAACAGAGGTAGGGGGAAAGAGGTAAAGAAACAAGAGAATAAGGGTATGTAATGACCGAGTAAGGATCCTGGGAGATAAGAGATCATTCTAAACAGGGAGAAGGATAAGCCTTGGACAGAGGGAGGACCGCCCACCTCTTTCACTGAGATGGGAGGGAATGAGGGGTAAGATTTCAGTGAAATTTGTATGGTAGGAAAAAGAGCTAAGGAAGTTCTCATCTATTGGCCTTAATTTTCCAGTGAAGAACCAGACTTGTCATCCGCCAAGAGTAAGGGCAAAGGTGACAGGGTAGGAAATTTGATGACAGTTTAGAAAGAGTCAATGAAGAGAATAAGTAGGAGAAGAAGCCATGGAGGAAGGTTTCTGAAGAGCAATCCTACAAAGGGAGCTGTGTCCTAGCAGGAAAATTCTGGAGGTTAAGATGTAGCCTATCAGAAGGCAGCACCCAAGTGTCAGAAACCTGAATCATTAGGAGGGTGGGTGCTAGCAAGAATTAACAGGTAACAAGTAAGTTAGCTGAGAGTCCTGCTCAGTGTTCACTAGTAAGGCTTTGACCTTTTTACAAAGCTCCATAAGGACAGACACCGTGTGTGATGACATGCTGAATCACCACTATAGCCCCAGCACCTAGCACATTATGCCTGACACATAGTAGGAACTCAGTAAATACTGGGCACATGAAACAGAAGGATCTAAAAATGTCTCAGAGGTCAATCTCAATCTCATGATGTATATACCTTACCACCACCACTCCTACATCTCATATTTCTCAGTTCTGCTGTGCTGAAAATACTAGCCTTCCAAATATCTCAGACACCTGACACTTGCTACAGTGCTCTTATCCATACTTCTCTTTCTAGAAATGTCCCACTATTAAAGTCCTTGGATGTCTGGCACTTACAATAATGGACACAGTTCTCTCTCTTCCTCTCCACCCTCCCCTAAATGAAACACTAGCAATGTTCTCTCCAAGTTAAGTGGTACACTTTTGGTACAGGGCCCCTCCTCACCTCTAGCACTAGAAGTAGCTCTATTATTAAAATGTCAGGGATGCTGCTATTATAGACTACAAGCCCCAGGTCATCTTCAACCAGTCCTTGTCCCTTTTTACCTGTGCTACTTGATTGTGTTTCTCAGGAATGTTTTTCAGATGGTTAGAGTGTATACAAACGATGTTCTCATATACAGAAAGAAAAAGAATTTATGTTTTTATTCTTAAAAGATTACATAAAAGAAAATGTCAAGCAACTCAAATTCCCTCCTTCAAAGAGGCATAGATATGAAGAAGCAAAGTGCCTAATTCAAGCTCATGGCCACTTTTCAGAGAAAACCTAATTGTTTCCTGGCCTAGCCATTAAGCAGCTAATTCTCAATGGAGTCCTCAATACTTTTTCTCATGCCATAAATGCACAATATGACAATGTCTACTTTCCATTCAGATTTTAAGAGATAAATAAAATGTAATCAGTTAGCCGGGCTTGGTGGCTCAGCCTGTAATCCCATGCCTTTGGGAGGCTGAGGTGAGTGGATGGCCTGAGCCCGCGGATTCGAGACCCGCCTGGGCAGTGAGACCTCATCTCTACAATAAACCAAAAAAATCAGCCGGGCATGGTAGCGCATGACTGTAATTCCGGCTACTTGGAAGGTTGAGGCGGAAGGATCGCTGGAGCCCAGCAGGTCGAGGCTGCGGTGGCCGGGAGTGGCCACTGCACTCCAGTCTGGGCGACAGAGTGAGACTCCAACTCAAAAAAAAAAAAAATGTAATCAGTTTTGTTTTTCTATTACCAAATAATATAACACTAATGTCATATTATCATTTAATTCAGCACACAGGAGGGGAAAAAGCCAAGTGCCTGCCCTAATCAAGTGTGGTTTAAGGCATATGGATATTAAACAGTGTGACTAATATAAAATGATGGTGTTGTAAGTGGATTGATTGAAAATGGGCAAATGGAAAGCTCAGGAATGGAATCTGGGAATGGATGCTGGAATTAAACCTCAGAAATATGTTGTGACTTTCCTCACCAGTACGTTTCTTTTAAGGAAGATGTACCACAGAAAGTTCTATCAGGGATATGGAAATGTGAAGTTGAAAAAGTGACTCTAACAACAGGGAGACTGCTCCAAACACAGAAAGTAGCATAAAGTAATGATGACAACAATGACGATGACAACAATAACAATGATGGGACAGTAGAAGCAATAATGCTAACATTTACTAAGTGTTTACTAGGTATCAGGCATATGGCTTTCAGTTGAAGAAAGGGCAAGGATTGTGATTTCTAGCACTATATTGTAATGACTACCCATCATCAAAAAGTACGCACGATCAACCTTGTGATCACATTCTGCATGGAAGACTTCTAATTCGACCTTCCTCTTTAAGGTCACCATATTTCCTACTTCTACTGACACTGTTTTCTGCGCCCTTCCCTTCCTCTTGCCAAGTTTCCAGGTAGTACCCCATAGTCTTTGGATTGCCATCTGGACCTCAGTTCACAGAGAAGGTGGATTTATTTCGGTATCCATTGATGACAGGCTGGAAAGGGCAGAAGGACAGGAGGGAGACAAGGGGTCATATGAAACCAAGGAGGACAACAATAAAGGGAAAACAGAAATGTTCTCTGGATGAGGACAAATACTTGCTTGGAAGGGATGGCATACATGAAAGTCAGTGGCTGAGAAGATAAAGATATTCCATAGTAGAAGGGGAGTTCCCATCTTGCAATAAAGCAAAAGTCAGCAAACTTCTTCTATCAAGGGCCAGAGAATAAATATTTTAGGCTTTGCAGGCCATATGGTCCCTGTCACAACTACTCAATTCTGCCATTGTAGTGCAAAAGTAGCCACAGACATAAGCAAGTGAGCTTGGCTGTGTTCCAATAAAACTTTATTTGTAAAATCAAGAGGCAAGACAGGTTTGGCCTAAGAGCCATGGTTTGCCAACACCTGCCATAAATGAAATTATGCCTCTCTGAGTCCTCATTAGAAAGGTTTCCAAGTCTGGAATCTTTATAAGGAGGTCTGAAATCTAAGGATTCCAAAGTCTGGAATCTTTTCTAAGGAAGAGTGGTTGATAAAGTGAGCTTTGTATCAGATAGACCCATGTGTGAATTTCAGCTCTGGCACTTTCTAGATGTGTGTCCTGGGCAAATTAATCTCTCTGGGCTTCAATATCCTCATCTGTAAAATGAGAGTTCCTATCCCTCCAGGTTAAAATGAGACAATGATGCATGATGATCATTTAGCGTAGAGCCTGGTCCCCAGTAAGTGCCCAGTAAATATTAGCTGATATTATTAGCCATTAAGAAGACTCAGTAGATAAGAAATAAGGAGATGGGGGTTTACAGAGAGTATAATAGGTGAGAAGACAAGAGAGTCCCTCAGATCTGAGTGCAGCAGTTGTCACATTGGCTCCAGTGAGCATTTGGATGTAAAACTCTATTCTTTGTAAAATTTTCTTTGCGCTTCAAATTTCACCTGCAAAAAATACAACAACAACAAAAAGTATTTTTGTAGTTTCACCTAAAAGAATGGAAAAGAAACAAGATAAAAGAAGGGTATCCCAAAGATTCCTGGCTCATCATCTCAGCAGATAAGAAACCCAGAATGATGAAAAAAGAATAAGGTACTAAGGAAAGGTCAAGAGTGAGCTTTTGTGTAAGCTCATCATTTTATGTGACATTTCAGACTGGAAGATCAAGGTATATGTCAGTGCTACCCAGTAGAACTTTCCATAATGAAAATGTTCTATGGCTGTGCTATGTTCTATGTATACAGTAGCCACTAGCCACATGTGCTTGAAATGCGGTTAGTGGTGCTGAGGAACTAAATTTTTAATCTTAATTAACTTACAGAGTTAGCTCTGCTATAATGTGATATGAGTGTTCCTACACAACAATATGCAAAATCACACACACACACAAATCACAGGGTTCACAGGAAAAATGGGATTAGGCACATAACATTCTAAAACTTTATCAGTAACACCCACAGAAAAGATAGGAACCTAATTAAAACAGTAGCACTGTTATACACATGTCAAATGGTTAGGAAATACAAATACTACAATAAGGATAACACTTTGTCCTGACAAAGACCTGAAGTTTGCTTGTAGAAGTGGGTATTGGAAGGACTGACACTTGTAGTTATCGTGAAATGGTAAAAGCAGGGTTATGTGAGTTGAACAAGAATTTCTAACACCAGATGCAAATAGGTGGAGATCATAACGCGCTTGGGGAAATGAGGGAGCTGGTAAATGCTTGAAGTGTGTGTGTGCATTCATCTTATGTGTTCTTACATAGCTTGGTTCAGCTGAGTGCAGCCTCCTTCTTTCATATAGCATTTCTCACAGATAGGACAAAACCACTCCACTCCTAAGCAAACATGACATTCACATTATGCTTACATTTTCCCTAACGTGTCAATCCGTTGGAGCAAATTTCCATTTTCAAAACAAGCATTACAGCAGAATTGATTGCATTCAAATTTAAACTAGCATGTGGCTAGTGGCTATCATGTTAGAAAGTGCGGCTGTATATGAAACATCAAGAGCACTGCTATTCACACACACAGAGCTATAAGAAAAACAAAAAAGTATGGAAGAAAGAAACTATGCATTTGGACCTATGGGTTGAGAGTTTAAATGATATAACTGGCCTAAAGTTCCAATTCAGAGTTATTAGCATATTGAGTTTAAGGAACTGCTTGGGCATCTGGGTAGAACTGTCCAGTGAAGCTTCCTATGAGTATGGCTAGTGCCATTGCCCTGCAGGAGAGGAGGAGTGAAGACTTAAGCTGGGTACCTACCTTGAGTTGTTCTCCATAGTTCAGTCTCCAGGGTGGTGTCACAACATCAGCCAGCCTTGAATAAAGTATTTCAGGCAGAGCACCTACTACACATAAGTACTCTCTGCCACCATTTTCTCTGGCGTTTTACTTATCTATCAATAAGAACACCTGACTCTCATGCCCCTAGGAAGATGAAGTCTGGGAGAAGAGCCTGTTTGGGTACTGTCTACTTAACAAAGCAGAACAGATGGACAAACCTAAAACAAGAAAAATCCAGATTTATCAGGAGGTAATTAATCATATTACAAAAGGCTTCACTGTTGGGTTCTTTAAATAGCTCACCTCCCTAATGCTTTAAAAATATAATTTGATTTAGAAAATACATTTGTTGCATAAAATGAGTTATATTTGTGCTTGTATGGCTACAATGGGACTATTCATCTCTAATCCATCTAATATCATTCTGGGTTTCTGGGTTTCAGCATACCTGCCTTGGACCTTTTTAAAGACAAGGTCCCAGTTTAATATCTTCTTTCTGACAAAAACACACTCAAAGACAAGAAGAACATTTTCTGCGACCCAAAAGCATTTCCACCAATATTCTTCAGATGTCTTCAAGGTTGCCCTGGGGATCCTACTCTGGGTGCTCGAATTCTTGCAATACCACCTTAGTTACCTTAGGAATACAGAATTTCAGTGGATCCACAAATTCAGACTTGTTAAGGAGAAAAGATGTCATCTCGGGCCTTACCTTTTCTGTCAAGAACCATCTAATGGTCCAAGATGGCTTGGTTTCTTCTGACATTTTTGTCCTTCTTGATACTTCTCAACTGTCACATGGATGAAATTTTTCTCACATGCTGTGCCCCCAAAAAGTTGTGACCAACCTGGTGGTTTTCTGCCATACCAGGGAAACGTTTCTGGTTTGGAGAAGCCCATCAGAGAGAGGAAGCATCTCAGGTTGTGCATTGGGACTCTTCTCTTAATGCCTGCCATTTAAAGGCACACACTGAAATTCACCTGCATGAAAGATAGACATACAGAAATTGTCAAATGGAGGCATAACTCCCAAACCCTTTTATTCATTTACAAACCCTTAAGGAACCCCAGCACCTAGCCACAGTGCTGGCATAGAGTACACAGTAGAAGCAGGCCTGTTGAACAGAACTGAATTACTGCATGCAAGGTACAGTCCTGGGCTCCCAAAACAAAGAGATGAGGAAAGTATAGTCTTCGTCTTCCTGGAAAGAGTTCAACTCTCTAGAAATAGTTCTATGATCAATCTCTTTCCCTATTTTACCCTCCCACCCAACAGCTAATCAATCAACTAATATTTAGCAAGTGCTTACTATATGTAAAACGTCACGCCACACTAGATATTGGAGTGGCTACAATTTAATTGAGGAGATTAAATACCAACATTGGAAGACATTAGCAAATAATACAATATGCTTGGTTCCTGAAGAGTTCTCAGACAAGACTCCCCAGAGCAGGCAGGCTTGGCACAGAGTCTTAAAGAATGGCAGGAAGGTGAATTAGATGTTTGAAGGATGGTGGGTAGACCAGTCTGACTAAAATGGTAGTTCACCTTAGGGAATAGAGGTAATAAGCTGAAAAGTTAAGTCAAAGTGAAATGTGGAGAAATTTAAACGCCTAAATAATAGATGGATTTTATTATGAAGGCAACAGTGAGTTGACACAGGCTGCAAGTAGAGAAATAAAGTGGAAAAAAGGAGGTCAATAAAAAACAAGTTCACGTTTGAGACACAGTATGTTTGAAATGGTAGGGAACTATCCAAATGGAAATGTCTAACAAGTAGAAAAGCAGTACAAGTCAGGAGAAAAGTCAGGGCTAGAGATTTGGTGGAGTATCTATAAGAAGTGCAAGCTGTAAGATATAAAGAAAGCTTTGAGTAAAGAAAAGAGCAAAAGGCCAATGACTAAACCTGGGGGAAAGGTAATATTTGGAGAGCAAGAAGAGATGCTCGTGTCTGAGGAGAGACAGGAGAGTGTAGAGCCATGGAAGCCAAGGGAGATGCCTTTGATGAAGGCACTGACACATCCAGCAAGTCTGAGGCAAAAGAAAGAAGGGAAAGGAGGCAATGGAAAGTGACAAGCAGTGGGGTCAAATAAAGGCTTTGAGATTTTAGGAGTGCAAACCCTAGAGTCAGCCAGCCAGACCTGGCCTGGGTGGTCCTCCAGTCCTACCATGTGCTAACTAGATGGCCTTTAGCAAGTTAATCATTCCCTCTGATCTTCCTTTTTCTCACCTGTAAAAAGGAAATAATGGCACTTACTTCATATAGTGATTGTAAAAGTTAAATAAAGATAATTAATAAAAAGCACTTAGCAGAAAATTAAGTGGAGATTATGTTTTTAAAGCTCTGAGCACAGAGTCCAGTACCTAGAAAAAGCTCTTCATTAAGCATTAACACTACAATTAAATACAGAACTGAGTGGGGGCGGCAATATTGAAGTAAGAAGGGAACAGGGGGAAGGAACAGTGGATGTAACTGTGAAATAAAAGTTAAGAGATCAGGCATGTTGACTCATGCCTGTAGTCCCAGCATATTGGGAGGTCAAGGCAAGAGGACTCTTGAGTCCAGGAGTTTGAGACCAATCTGGGCAACACAGAGGACCTCGTCTCTACAAAAAAATTAAAAAATTAGCCAGGAGTGGTGACATGCTTCTGTAATCCCAACTACTTGTGAGGTTGAGGTAGAAGGATTGCCTGAGCCTAGGAGGTTGAGGCTGCAGTGAGTGTGATCATGCCAATGCATTCTAGCCTGGGCGACAGAGTAAGACTATGACTTCGAAAAAAAAAAGCTAGAAGAGTTAGAACAGGGGACTCTGAGAACACAAGTGGAGGGTTTTGCTTTGGAAAGGGAAGAAATTCCTTGTCCTCCAATACATGACTGTCTTTTCGCTTTTTGTTTATTTATCTTATGTTGTCTGTCTATTGCTGTGTAAGCACCTTTTTTAAGTACTCAGGACATATCAACAGACTTGGTCTGACACCTTACTGATCTGCTGTGAAATTACCTTTTTATCCTTGACCTCTATCTACCTTGGATTTCAACCCAAGGGTAAGTCATAGCTTACTTCAGAAATATTTACGTGTGTGTATGTATTTAAAAGTCCATTGTATATAATAGATTTATTATCAAAAATTCCTCCATGGCTCCATTATTGTTAAATTAATATGCATGGCCAATAGGTAGCCTAAAGGATGATGACATGAGTACTGTAATATTTAACCTATACACCATTTTGTAGGATAACAAAGTACTAAAGAAAGTAACTGTCACATCATGTAATCACTTCGAGGGAATTTCAAATTTCAAACAGAATATGTCATCAGTTAGGAACATCAGCTTTGGAGTCACGTTCTAACCCCAGCTCCTCGTCTCACTAGCTAGGTGGCTTTGGGAAAGGTACTTAAACACTATGAATCTCAGTGTCACCCTCTATATAAACAGGACTGACAACACCTACCTTTCATGGTTGTGGCAAGAATTAAATGAATTCATATATAAATGATGTGCCCATGACTGTGCTTAGCACAGCAGGTGTTAAACATGTGTCACTGTCCTTCCTTAGGCTCTGATTCAAAGCATGTCACTTGGCCTCTTCAAGCCTCAATGTCTCCAGCCTGCAAAACTGGAGAGATGTAATAATGTATATAAGTGCTGTGAGGATAAGTACAATTATGTGAGAAACTTAAAAGACACACACACACACACACACACAACTTTCCTGACCTTCTGCATGAATGCCTGCTGGAGTGTGGTGAGGTAATGTTCTGCCCTGGACCACCTGTGAATACCATCAAAAGTGTGCAGCCTGTGATTGACATTTTTCCAAAGTGAGAGAAATGTATGTATTTGATATGGAGAAGAGCAAAAGCCAGAAAAAGGAAATAAGTGAAGAGGCAAAGAATAAAGAATGACTTGGTGGGGCTGAGGAGGCTAGTGACCTTGAAGCCCAGAGTACAGGGGGAGGAAGTAGTACTGGCCAAGGAGAGGGGCCCTGTCCAATTAGCCAGAGGGGAAGTCAGAAGGATGAAGGAAGCGGCAGGCCCACTGGGGGTTGGCAGAAGAGGGACAGGGGAGCTGACAAATCTGAAGACAGCTATCCCTACCCCACAACATTTAGACCTTTTTGTGTGTGGGTTCTCTCACTGGTAACTGCCATCATACTGTGGTTTATTTGTACTGTATTCAAGCAGGAAAGTCCTTGACCATTTAACTCTCATCCTCCAAATATTCTAGGATGGTCTAAAATAGGACCTTACTATTTCAGGATGCTAGTCAGCCATCACTCTCAGTAAAGAGCCTTTCATATTTAGTAATTTCTGTGGTGAAATCTCTTTGTCAAGTCAGTAAATCGATACCAGTCAAGGTGAGTTCTGGATTTTTCCTTAATGTCAGAAGGGACATTTGTTCACAGAAAAGGCTATTTTCTTTTTATATTTTTTCCTGTTTTAAATATATGCTTGGGCGTTTTGTTCTTAGCAAAAGAGAAAAAAAAGTGTGTGGCAAATACTCAACTGCTCTATACCTGCCTCAAGGATTAATCCGGAAGAGCTCCAGAGTCCAGAGTAGCCCAGAGAGAAAAGTAGAATAACTCTCCAGAGCTTCACTGGATAAACCAGTGCTCAGGGAGGTTAAATCAAAGACACTATGTGAAAGGTCTGATGTGCAAGGTCAAGGAGCCCCTTGAAGCAAAACGACTGTCCATTGAAAAAGGTCCTGCTTGCACTCTCTGTTCACCCTCCCTTCAGTTGGCCTGGCCCCAGACACGGGTTCCTTGCTAAACCATACGAGCAGATGGGTTGACTGCTGTTTCCCGACTGCAGCCCATGTGCAGTCAGGTGCTTCCAGACTCCACCAGCCCCTCCATCTTCCTCTTCTTTAGGCAAGTTCTGCCCACCGTGTCTGTAGGAAGCGTTAACAAAGAGGAGACGCTAACTAGGAAAGGTTACCACTGAACTTGGCCGGGCAGCAGGGCCAGGAGAGGCCGGAAAGGTGGGGAGGGCGGAAGAGTGAGAACATAGGCAGACGCCGGACTGGACGTGACCTTGTGCAGCCACCGTCGGTCCCGTTCTCGCCCCACAGGCAAATCAGCGCAGTAGGCAATTTTTTGTTCAGCAAGGGTTAAGTCGGGTTTGCTGGGCTATTTACCGTCCCCCACCCCGCCCTTACCTTCCTTTGTAACCAATAAACCCTCTAACAAACCTGAGGCGGCAAACCATAAGGCCAGTGGCAGGCTCGGCTTGCGGTGGCCGGGAGGAGCCACTTCCTGGTGTGTAGAGCGCCTTCATGCCCGGGGCCGGCGCGGCGGGAGGCAGAGTTCCTTCCAGCACCCGCAGGGCGGCCAGTCCGGGTGCCCAATCCCCTTGGGGAGCACCCCATTCTACTTTGCTGGAGTTATCTCGAGACTGTTCTTAAAATCACTAGCTGCCCTATGGCCCTCTGCCTCCCTTCTCCAAGTTCTTCTCCCATCCCCCAGGTGACCCCGCCCACCGCCTGCCCATTCCTTAACGTCCCATTGGTGGATAGAAAAAACCATAAAGAAATTCGCACTACAGAGTTAATTGCGTTACCTGTCCCAAGGGTGCTTGCAGTTTAACTCTTCCGTCACAAAGAATGGGTCTCTAACGGTAGAATTGCAGGCATCAGATCCATAATGGGTTGGAAGATGGGGAGATGAGAGGCAAGCTGGTTTCCTGAAATGGCATCCTTTGGTAAAAGTCAGCCCCTATTCTGGGTCGTAGAGTTTTTCAGGTATTCATTCTCCTTCTATTTTATATTACATCAGAAAAGGATTTTGTTATTATGACAAAGTAAACCTGGTTTCTTTACTGGATCCCACTCAAGGCTATTAAATTCTAAACGCTCAGAGAAAGAATTGTTTTTCTCTTCAACTATAGAAGTCAGAAGGCGGCCAGATACCACTATTTCACACACTAGCTCCTGAACTACATTCAGTGATTG